CTTTACATTGGATACTTTCTATTGATCTATCTTTAGGTTTACTGACTCCCAAGAGTAATTTAATGTCAATAAATTAATTACCATAATAGAAACACAAAAATAGAAAATCAGAATAGTTCTGTATTTATTTAAAGAACAAAATATATGATGAAGAACTGTACTTAAAGCTTTATTCCCAAATGATTTCACTGGTTAACTATTTAAAATCTTGAAAGAAGATATAAGATAAAACTTCCATACAGTCTGGAGAATATTTCCCAACTGATTTATAAGGCAAGAACAATCATTAATAMCAAAACATAACAGAAATGTTACAAGAGAAGAAAATTAATAAATATAGATGCAAAAATACTCAACTCAAGGTTAGCAAATTGAATCCAGAAATATATAAAAAAGATAATATATCACATTCAAATATACAGTACATTCCAGAAATGCAATTTTGGATTCACTTTCAAAAAGCAATCAGTGTAATTCACTATTTTGTTAAGTAAAGGAGAAATGCCATATAATTACTTCAATAATTTCGAATTTTTTTTGATAAAATTTAAAACTCAAACATAGGAGAGACAATTTTTCAACCTTGGGTGAGGAATACAAGGAAACTTCTTTTACAAAAGGGATTTTACAAAACAAACAAGTCCAAACCCCAAAACTAATACTAGTATCATTCTCAATGGTAAAATAGTAAACATTTTCCTGATAAAAATAGGAGAAAGGCAAGAATGTTCTCTCTTCTTTTCTTGAACATTGTACTAAAGCTCCTAACCAATGCAACCAGCAAATAAAATAAACAAAATTACATTAGTTGAAAAGGAAGAATGCAACTCTTTGTTTGATGACATAGTAGTGTACATAGAAAATCCCAAGAAATCTACCAAAATTGAATTGAGGATATTACAGGATTCAAGATCTGTACATAAAAAACCACATGTGGTGTTCTGCACTAGCAATGAACAAGTGGAAAATGAAAAAGTTATTTTAAAGTTTTTGGAGCATTATAACTATACATAATAGTGGGGTTTATTATGCTATATTTGTACATGCACATAACATAATTTGATCATTTTCATTCTCCATTACCTCTCTTTTCCCTTCTCTCTCCCCCCCCCATCTCTTTGCTGTAGTGTACTGGTCTCCCTTCTAACATTATTATTGTTTTAATTCATGCATTATCGTTATGCATAAAAGTGAGATTCTCTGTGGTATTTTCATCCAAGGACATAGTAGATTTCATTCCCCAGTACTTACCCATGCCCTCCTATCTTCTCTCCCTCTTGATCCCCATCTTCTATTCTGTTAGTCTCCCTTCTATTTTTGTGAGAGCATTTTTTTATTCTTTTTTTTTTTTACTAGCAGGAAAACAAAAATTCTACATACAATTTGTAAAATCACTACAAAATATAAATCTAACAAAATTGTACAAAAAATTTATACCAAAATTTACAAAATATTGTGAATGAGATAAATTTTCTAAAATTTAGAAAGTCAAAGACTCTAAAATGGCCAAATTAAAGACAGGCAAGTCAAATGTTGGCAAGAATATGGAACAAGTGAAATTTCCCTACATTCCTCTTAGGATGTACTCCTTTTAAAATACACGTTGCAGTTACTTATAAAGTTAAGTATTCACTTGGCATTTACCCAGAAATTCAAAATTCACAGAATGACTTGTAAATTCACAAAATTTTGTCAGATATGTTTATAGAAGCTTCATATATAAACAGCCTAAAACTAGGAGCAACCCAAATGTCCATTAACAGAATAATAGGTAAACAAATTAAGGGATATACTTTCATGGAGTAAAACTTGGCAAGAAAAAAAAATTACCAATAAGTGAATTAATCTCAAAAAAATTATGTTTTAGCATAATAATCCACAAGTATTTTAATAAAATTTTCAATTAAAATATTAATTCAAAATAAGTTAGATACAAAAGATCACATATTATATTCTTTTTTGTTTATATGAAGTTTTAGAAAAGGCAAAACTAATTTGTGTTTAGAAAAATCAAAAACAGTCATGACCCCAAGATAAAAGGATTAAGTGGAATATGGCACAGGGAATTTTCTGGGAAATTGTTCTCTTTCTTGACAATGGTGTTGGTTATATAGATCTATGTATTTTTCAAAACTCCTCAAACTGTACACTTGAGATTTGTGTGTTCTACTGGATATAAATTATACCCTAGCTACAGTGAAAAGAAAGATATTTACATTTTTCTCCAATGAGCAAGTTAGATTTCATTTTCATTAATTCCAAATAAGACCCAAGTCTTTATTTGGGTTACCTTATAAAAGAAGTTTATATATTTGGAAATTGATTTCTCTTCCCTTTGCTTTTCTTTCACTTCCTCCTAAAAACCATAGTATGTGAGATAAGGTGGATGAACATTGCAAAAAAAAAAAAAAAACTATAGCAGAAAACTTGCATTGGAATTTTGTCATTTGGACCTTGGGCAGACCTATAATTTGAATGTGTGACACTAGAAATGGTTGCTATGGTGATAAACCACTTTACTTAAATAGCATGTATTTTACTCAAAATTCAGAGAAATGGTAACAGTTTCTAGTAATCATGCACTGGTATTAACTTGCAGGGGTATGCCTAAAGCTTACAGGTTTTGCATCCATTATCGCCAGATAAATTCATCAGGTTAAGGTTATGCCAGTGAATAAATGAAATATATTTAGCCCAATCTTTGTTACATATCTTCCCTTACACACATGGAACCCCCTATTCAAGATTAATAATAGGAGGTGAAGAAATCAAGCCAAGGGTATTGAATTACAAGAAGGTGAAACTGGAGGGGACCTTGTAAGGTCATCTTTTCCATCATTCTGCTTCCAGTAGGACTGACTATTCTTCAACGGTTTCAAATGGTTAAGAATTTGTCAAAGATGAAGAACAATTGAAATGCTGCTTGGGGAAGCCCCTAGTGTGACTGACTATAGCACTAGGGGTGACCTCTATCTTCACAGTATCTTCTTCACTTTATAGATTTTAATTTTATATGTGTGTGTATTTATAAATTATTCTTCTTTCTTTTTAGACTGAAGAGCTGTCTTATAAAGAAACTGTCACCCTTTAATTACATTAGTAGTCTGACTATAAACTTCTTTGGTTCCTTTACATATATTTTCAGCCTGGTTTCAGTGTTTTAAGTAAAATTCATAATTTTATATGAGGATAGAAGTATTTTTCCTTGATATCTAAGATGCTTTCTGATGACAGCAAGGTTTTCTTGCCCACTGTACAGTGGTGCTTTAGATGCRTATCTTCAGAGCACAGTCTACTGTGATTTTTAGATCTTCTAATGGACTGACAAATAGATGGCCAATAGTCTCATGATGATCATTTAGGACCTTTTCCCCTACAACTGAATATTAAAATTCTTCTGTCATCTTTCTTGTACAGTCTTATGGGAGCTCCTCTCCTTCTATTTGCCTTTCATGACCTGCAAGATCTTGTAGCCTTGGCAATTTCACTTTTCATTTCGTTGTCCTATTACTTACAAAACTGTAAAATTGCATCAGTGACAGCATAGATCCCYGAGGAATCCTACCAGCTATGAGAGAAGAAAAGGAGAGACCCAAAACTCAGATAATCTATAACCTAACAAAAGAAATCTCTGAAAAAGTAAGATTTGTTCACAGTCCTAGAAAAAGCCTGGAAGCTGGAATTTATTTTGGCTGTTTATATTCCAAGGACTTGGCTCTTTGTGAAGAAAACTACAGCTTGACCTAAAGGCCCTGTGGTGGCCATTCTGCATCTATGCTCTGTTAGCATCGGAGAAAGGTTTCAGTTGAGGGGTGCTCAAAAGGGAAGTAGGAAACTCTTTAGAAAAACTATTTAGAAAAATGATTCTGTTTCCTGAGCCATGCCATTCTAAACTTAATGCAACTGCAGATGAACAAAGAAAAATTGTAAGGTATAATTGTGCTCATACACACACAGTATTTTACAGGTTAAACCCATATACACAGAAGCTTCTGAGTATTTGCAATAAACATTTGAAATAAAGGTAAGCATGTTTGCATTGATGCTACAAGGGATTTGTTTCAATGCAGCTAGTTTTAGGCCAATTTTGAAACTTAAATTATGGTCATCTATATTAGTTCTAACTTGTATTAATCATCAAATTGACAAAGAAGTAATAACAGATTCTTTTTATACTGAGAGTAAGATTATTAATTCCTATAACTTCTGTGGAAGATAATATGATGACATMTTTTATAATTATAAATTCATATGCCTTTTTGATCCAGAAATTCTACTTTTAAAATATACAGCCAATCATAATAGTGACACATGCAAAATGACACAAGTCTAAGACTATGATAGCAGCATTATTTGTATTAGTAAAGGACTGGAAACAACCTGAATGTCCATTGTGAAGGGACTGACTAAATAAATATAGTACATTGAAAGAAAAGAATTACTGCCTAGCCAGAGAAAAAGAATGAGCAATCTTTTTTTTGTAAGAATTGTCATAGAATGATCTTCAGGATACTGTGTGTGTGTGTGTGTGTGTGTGTGTGTGTGTTGTGGGGAACAATATTGCTATCCCTGACCATAGAGATTGTTTCTGAGTATTTTTTCCTGGACCCATTAGTCTACTTTAAGGACTGACATACATTAACAAATGAAACAGCGAGGAAGAATGGAAACATTAAGCCAGATATGAATATAAGCAAATTAAAAGGAAATATTTGTATAATATTAGTTGCAGTGGAATATTGAAAAACACTCCCTCAAGTATTTGAATAATAACTCAGAATCCAAGTAGTAATATCAAAAGAGAGAAAGAGTTACACTTAGATTTGTCTTTTAATAGGATTTGTATATAAAGTTAATTAAATTTTATGAATTGAAACTCCTAAATAGGTTTTATGTTTTGGACTGTACTAAAGAAAGCCATGTGTCCTCAGCCAGATACCAGAACATTAAGGGTGCCATAATCTCACCGTATTGACGAACATAAGGAGTTTCAACAAGAGGAAACAACCTATGTTAGTGAATATTAAAGACTTTTAAATATATTCTGCTTTTTGAAAGAATACATAGAAGCAACTGAGAAGTCTTCTTGGGGGTAAAAAGGAAGAGAAAATGACCTTTTTACATTTCAGATTTATACAAATTAYTCAGGGTACAAAATGCTTTTTAAGTATTACCTGCTCAAGAATTAGCATACATTGTTATAAAGTCAGACATGAGTGAGGCTCTGAAGAGGCACATATTTAAGAATTGTCTGCAATAAACAGACACCAGGTAGATCTTCTCTTTCTTTAAATATAGATATCAAAAAGTGTAAATGACCTGAAACTTTGCTGCATCTCTGGGAAGTTGTTTATTCATTGGAGATATATATACACATACATACACACACTACTGTGCATAAAATGTAGTTATAATTTGTGTTATAAAATGTACTTATTATATATGARTTTGAATGATCAAAGAAACACCAGATTAATTTGCTTTGCATTATGTATAATTTTTTCACATTTTTGAAAATTGTTCACCTGATTATTAATCCACGTGTACTCTTTCAGTTAACCAGAAGAGTAAACTTGTGAACCCTTTCCTAGACTGTTGTGTGTAGATGAGAGCATGTTATATCTATATCCCATGCCCCTGGCCCCTGTCCTGTTTTATAGCATCCAGGAACATTCTGCTCTCTTTTATAACTCTTATGCTCAGTTTAATTTAATTAAAAGTGATTAATTAAAATGAACCAAAGGTCAAAGTAGACTCTGCTTCCCTCATGACATCAGAATTTGAGACTGGTTCCTCTTCTACTATTGGAATGAGGTGATCTGAGAACTTACAGTTGCCTGTGAAAATTCATCTGCTTGTTTTGTGCTTTAAGCTCACACAGTACTTTCATGGCTACCTCCTCAGTTCATTCTCATAATCAAAGTAAACATGCAATTATTGTTTTCCATATCCCTTTACCAGTGAAGAATTGAGACTTTAAGGGATCTACAGACCTGCCCAAGTGGTGTGACTAGGATTATAAGTCAGTTCCTGGATTCATGCAGGAGAATGGTGAGGATATGAGAGTGGTTGGGTATGCAGCAGTTTTGTACCCCACTGGGCGGGCACRTGTCATTTTGCATGACAGAAGTTTTGAAATTGAGCCTATATGGTTTGCTTCACACCAAACACTAAAAAAGTCACTTGGCTTAAAGGTGATAAAGGGCCAGGTTTGGTGTCACATGTAGAAGGCTGAGGCAGGAGAATTGTAAGTTTCAAACCAATTCCAGCAACTTAGCAAGGCCCTAAGGACTTAGTGAGACCCTGTCTCAAAATAAAATGTAAAAAAAATTAAAATAAAAAAGGGCTGGGTGTGGTTCAATGGTTAAGTTACCCTGGGTTCAATCCCCAGTACCAAAAAAACCCCAAAAACTAAAGGATCTTTTTGGAGAGATTTAATAATAAGTTTACAGTGTGACTATTTTGTGTCCCCAAAATATAATGCTTCAACTTGCAAATCTTTAATGACAGTGTGGTTCTTTGAGTTGATGTTTATTTTCATGTCTGAATTAATTCAGGTCTCTTCTTTCATTTGTAGTCCAAGAAATTACTTGGAACCCGTAAGAGGGCAGATACAGAAGACGTTGACACGTGCTGTTCTCTTTCCACCTCTAGCAAACTCCTTCCAGCTGATCTCAAGGGAGAACTAGAGAAAACCCCTGTGTCTCCAACCAAATCCACTGCTAAATCCACTGCCCTGCTTCGATCCAAAAAGAAACTCTAAGGCTCCCTCCAGTGCTGAATARTACAAAAACAAACTGCTCTCTCTAATGCTAAAGGCAGGGCATAGGAGGGGAAAGGACAGTACTACATGGAGATTTTTTTTTAGCTCCGCTGGGCCCTGCCTTGTGTTTGCATCAGGTTAAAACTGAAGCTCCTYATCTCCAAAGCAGTGTAAACTGCACAGGGTGTTGGAGGACAGCCACCAACAGGCTTGATGTCAGGCTGCAGCTGAAATCAACATAAGTTGTACCTGAAGTTTGCTTTGGGAGGGGGTGCAAATGCCCTCAGTGGAAGGCTGTGGGCATACTTGCTCAGTTTTACTTAAGATTTTGCATTTAGGCACAATTATTTGCAAGGGAAAAACAAAAGGCCGAATTTGGTAATGGGGGTTCCAAATAATTATGTGCACTTTGCACTAGAAGACTTTGTTAGAAATTACTAATAAACTTGCCATAGGCATTATGGCAGAATGCTTCAGTCCTTCACGTGTTCTTATGATTTTAGGTTGCTGTAGATTGTTTAGGACAACTTATTTTAAACATAAAAAAATAGGACATTTTGTAACTGCTTGCCATTAACTTGCTGCTAAATTCTCAATGTATTGATTAAGTCAATAAAAACCAGATGTTACCCATGCACGTTAATTTTTATGTTAACGAGAAGGGAATATATTAAGGTCTTGTAATCCTTAGACCATAGTTGGCCTGTTGCTGCAATGGTAGGTGCATACCTTGGGGACGAGTATGAGGCTAAATACAGGGAAAATACATCATTAATCTTAGTATTGGAGATATCTCCTTTCCACCCAGTTAAATAATTTTGCTATCCAGAGGCTAAACTGGGTGAATGAATGTCTTTTTGGTTTCCCAACTTAAAAAAAAAAATCAGTTTGTATTTTTCTTTATAAAGTAATAACCTAGCTTAATTTCAGACTCTCATGGCATTGTCATTTAGGACTCCAAAGTGAACCATACTTGGCCAGTTAAGCAAGTACTAGTATATATAAATCCATTCAGTGGCTAAAGGATGTACATGTGCTTTTTGCAATTAATTTAGAAGACACTACTGTGATTCTGAATGCATCAGAGATAACACTGGCATGAGTTACCCTGGCCAAAGGGTTCTGCCAGTATTTTCTTAATACCTTCAACCTGCTTCCATTGAGGGAATCTGTGAGCCAAACATGTCTAGTGTAAGTAGTCTTAGTCTTATTTTAAAACTGAAGTCGATGTAGCTTCTTCAAGTTCTTTCCCCCTTTTTGATTATTATTTCCAGTTCTCTTGGAATCCCGTACGGCATCTCCTAAGCTTTAAGTATTCTCTTAGGGTTTTGTGAGCCAGCGAGGAGTGTGTTCTGTCCACTAGATCATAACCATGGCCTCACTAGCTAAATGGAAATTTCCTTTTCCTAGTAGTACTTGGAAGCAGAGGGGAGAGCTATAGTCTGTCACCTCTGGAGGGAAGAGTAGGGACCTAGACCTTGATGGAGAGCTGGTTTTCTTGCAAAAAAGCCCACCAAGACTGTGGTTATGACTCTGCAGAGTTCCCAGGCCTAAAATGGACTATTCCCTGTGTTCAAAATGTTTTTACTTTTACAGTGATATTGTCTTTGGGGATTAGAGGAGTCTATGGTAAAATTGAGTACTATCCACATCTCTCTGGGCCCTAAATTAATGATTCTGTTCAGTAAGCCTGAGCAAAGCACCAGAACTATCTACTTATTGAAAATTGAAGTTGTTTTATAACATTTTAGTGTCTCTGTACCTTTTCCCATCACACACCAGGCAAGAACCAGCCATCCTTCCTATCATAAGATGCATTTTATTAGCTCTCCTAATAACAGAGATATTCTGTTACATATCTTCATCTTATTTGCATAGAATCTTTCTGATAGAAATTTAACTCACTCTTTGGAGAGACAAGTTCCCTATTATTTCTGTTATATTCATAAGGAACACATTGAGACTGGGCCATATCTGAGCTTTGTTTTCCAACTAATAGTCCTCTTTCTTCATTTGATTTCCATTGCTGTGAAAAAAAAAGTTGCTCTTCCCTTTCAGTTTGGCTTCTTTGACCAAAAGGCTATCTCTGAGGCATCAATGACAATCTCTCTGACACCTCCCATGCACCACAGGACAGAGAGCTGGGTTTTGCCCAGAGGGACACATTTTGTCTCCACAGTACAAAGCAATTGTTTCCAATACTGATCAACTCTCTGACTTGATGGCAGGTAAGTCAAGGCAGGAAGAATGTAAAAAAAAAATAGGAATGCAGGCCTGGAGCTGGGGATGAGTTCATCTGAGAACAGAAGATGGTATCAGAGAAGAAAGGAAAATGGTTGGGGTTGGGGAAAGCAAGATGAGAAGCAAGTACAGTTAACAAAACTGAAGAATGGCACGTGGCTTTGCCAAACCTGGAAGCAGAAGTCAAAGAAGGGAAACACTGCTCATTGAATAGCCAGTCTAAAACAAAATTAGCCCCCTCCCTGGCCTGTATACAATCAAAGCCAAAGACAGGGGGAGGAAACAAAGATCTATGGAAGCTGGGAGGCTGTGGTTTGAAGATTTGGCCACACATAGTCCTTACATTTTGAGTAAGAATGTTATGTAGTATGGGCAGGGGAGGGAGCAGAAGAGAAAAAATAAAAGCATTTTGTGCTTATCATGGAAATGCTTTGTTTAAATAATTCTATTTGACTCCAAAATGTAAGTTCCAGGTTAGACAGATCAAAAGCAGTGAATCTTGAAAATGAATCTTTTAAAATTCCAGCCCTGCTGTTGGAATAGAGAATAAAGGCTTTGTTCAAACATGCATTCCCAGCAGTAAGCAGGGCTTTGAAATTGGCTGAGGAAGTTGTGTCCTATAATGGCTGCACTTGGCTGGAGATCAAGATGCTGTGGTCTCTGGGAAATGACCCTGAGCTGGATATTTTCTATTGACCCCTTCAAAACTACTCTGCCTGCTCTGTCCTCTCTATCCAGAGGCTGATCTTTAGGGACTGCATTATCAGACTGCCCTGACTCCTGGATTAGTTAGGATTCTGTCCGTAGAGAGCAAGGCCCAGACATTCCTCCCAGTGCCTTGTGTGCTGGGCCGCTTGGCATTTGCTGCATCCTCCTTTTTTAGGCCAAGCTCCTTGGCATCCCTTAGCAGTGTGCTCCTGGTCCCTTTAAGGACAAGACCAGCCACTATTGCCCTTGGGTACCATATTTTCCTTTGTGGGTTTCCCTCTCTGTCTCTTTATAAATTGTCTCTTCCTTGAACTCTCTTCTTTCCCACAATCCAGATCCTTTCCTCGCCAACTCTACATTGTTCTTGACCCAGGATGGTTCCTATCATATTAGAGTTAAGCAATGAGCAGAGCACAAAGCCTAAATGAGTTCTTCCTGAAAATGTGAGGCACATGGGTAGTCACTGGGGGCTGGAGCAGGGGTGCAGGGGAACTGTTCCCAGGGTTGGAACCTAAGCAGAGTAAAATAAACCTAGCATTAACCAACTGAATCTGAAATACAAAATGGACTCCACCCAAAAGGCTTGCGTTTTTGTCTTAAATTCCAACCCTAGCTTTGGGGCCTAAAGAAATCAAAAACCAAGAGGCCCTCCAGCCTGGGAGGGGGGCCACCCTGCTGGTTCCTGGCTGTTGATGGACATCTGCCTGAGGCTTCCAGGGAACCCAGGACCTGTTGTGCCAAGGACAGAAGCACAGGCGGCCTGAAGGCAGGACGGCTCCCTGGGCTTTGCTTTTGCTTCATCTTTGCAAGCACAAAAATCACTTCATAAAAACATTTTTAAGTAAAATTTCCACTATTCAGAGGTCTTACATAGTTCAGTTTTACTCTTCAGGATCCTGTATTTTTCTGAGTGAGCTGACTTCGAACTGATTTTTTATTTCTGTTCAGTGAATTGTTATCACTTAATGCTCATTGGTGAGCCAATTTTCTTTGCCTTTGTTCTTCAAAGGAAGGCCATATTCAGCAACCGTCTTGCATTTTAGTGTCTGCCTTCCTTAGTTGCTGATGTAATCAACCCTGTTCTGGCTGTGTCAATTCTCCACATTTCCCTAAATTACTGGGAGCAGGCCCCAGCAGGAGTCTTGGGGCCTCTCACCTGTGCCCCATGGGCCTCTCTTTGAGCAGCAGCACTCAGTTGGTGGTAGAACACTGGGAAAGCCAAAGGGGTCATCACAGGCGTTGCTGCAATCTCAGAGACCTTCTTCTCCCTGCTGACCAGTGCCATCCCATCTGGGAACACATAGCAAAACCTCAGAGGACCTCCTCCCCACAGGAGGCAGTGGTTTCTGGCCTGCTGCATCTGAAGTTAGGGCCACAGATGCAGTGCAGCCCTCTTGCCCCAGCACAGACTTGGCTCACCTCTCTCCTAACTAGATCAGGCAGCATTTTCACACCCTAGCCATGGCAATGATACTGAGGGCCCACCTGTCTCCCTGCACGTGGGGCACTGAAGCACACCTTCCACTCTTTTTCTGCAGTCAAGGTCCTGAAAGCAAGCTATTGTTCAGGGAAGACTTCCCTCATCAGCCCAGAAATCTGTTTCCATCCTTAGGAGCAATTGCAAAGTCCCAGAAACAGCATTTCCAGCCTCCCCAAGGGACAAGATGGGTGCATTGGAAGATGGAGAGCAACTGACCCTTGTGTGGAGGTGGCCACTATTATTTCCTGGTCCTAGATTTGATTTACACTGAATTTACTTGACATCACAGTCCTCTTGTAAGGGGGATTTTAGATTATATTAGTCTGTCTTTTAGCTAAAGTCCCTCTCCAGAATGATGATGTAACAATAGCAGCAACATTTCAGAGCACTTACCCTGTGCCAGACACCATGCTAAGCCCTTTATGTGTATTAGTTCTTTTAATCCTTACAATAAACTAYGAAGATGGTACTATTTTTATCTCTACACAGGAACAAATTGAGGCACAGAGAGATAAAGGAATTTGTTCAAGGTCACATATCTAATAAGTAGCAGAACCAGGATCCGAGCCCCACCACCAGGCTCAAGTGCTACTGTAGCGCTACGGGCCTCTCAAGGCCTTGGTGGCTTTGCTTCCCTACTCTTTAGGCCTGAGTCTGTGGTAAAGTTTGATCCCAGGGTTTCAAAAGGTCAGTGGCTCATGCACACCTCTGTCTCCCAGAGTGGTAATATAGGCAAGCTTGAGATCTAAGATATCAGAAGAAAGCAGAATTATTTTACATCTTGACAAATTTGAGTAAGATCCAACAACATGAAACAAGGAAGGCTACATTCTGAAAGACTCTGAATGATAAAAATAAATTTGCAGTGTTTTCACTGGTCACTCATTGTCTGGAACAGTCTTCAGCAGCCTTTGAACATGTCTTTGACCAAAGAGCAAAGGCTCTGTTACTTCCTCGGGCGGGCACTCCTTCTGGGTGAATGTAGTAGACTGATGCTTCCCAGGAGCAAAGGTTTGCAATTCCCATCTCAGGTAAATTGGGGTTAAGAATCATTATAATATTTCTATTTCTATATTTCTTCTTCAGGTGGGATGGGTAGCTGTGTGGCTGAGAATGCAGAGCTCAG